AGATGCCCCGGTGGACACAAGGTTACTGAGTGCTTACTATGTGTCAGGCTCTGAACTAATGGCAGTACATATGTCTCATCTAGTGTGATGCTCACAACTCTATAAGCAGGTATTATTATTATGCCTGTTTGACAAGTAAACAAACTGAAGCACCAAATAACTTGCTAGAAAAGGGACGAAGTGTAGAAGACATGAATTTCCCATATTAAAACAATGAGAGAACTTGGACACTAAGGCGGCAGTTCGGTGGTGTAAGTGAAAGGTTACAAAAAATTTTTTCAGTACAAAACCAAAACTGCTGGCAGATTGTGGTTGGCAGAATTCTAAGATGGCCCCCAATATCCCACCCCATGATGTACGGGTGGGACCTGTGAGTCTCATGAGATGTCACTCCCTTGATTATCTTACACTAATATGGCAAAAGGGATTCTGCAGATGTAATTTCCCTAATCAGTTGAAATTGAGTTAATTAAAAGGGAGATTATCCTAGGTATGCTTGACTCAGTTCTGAATCCTTAAAAGAGACATAAGCAATAGGAGAGGCTCTCCTGCTGGCCTCGAAGAAATAGGTCATCAAGAGTCCCACGACTACAAAGAACTCTGCTTATGACAACCTGAATGTGTTTCAAAGAGAATCCAGAGTTCCCGATCAGAAACGAGCCCTGGCTGTCACCTTGGTTACAGCCTTGGGAGACCCTGAGTAGAGAACCGTGAAGTCCTGCCTAGGTTTGTAATCTACAGAACCGTGAGACAATAAGTGTTGTTTTAAACCACTAAGTTTGTGGCAATTTGATATACAGCAAAACGAATACACAGACCGCCGATTGACTAAAGGCTGCTAGAGAAGGTGAAGCCATTGTTGTGCCATTACGTAGAGCAGCTGTTCTCAAAATGTGGCCTAGGGGCTCCTGGGGGTCTTCAAGACCTTTTCAGGGACCCATGAGGTCAAAACCATTTTTATAATACTACGATGTAGCTTGCCTTTTTTCCTGTTCATCCTCTCATGATTTTATAGTTTTCTTCTAGACGTTACCTGATATGTGACGATATTATTACTCTGATGGCTAATGGAATGTGTCCCTGCGTATTCCTGTGTTTAAAACATTTAATTTCTATTGTTGTAAACATTGACAAATATAGTCCATATAAACAAAAGTTCTTTGGGGTCTTCCATAATTTTTAAGAGTGTAATGAGGGCCTGAGACCAAAACGTTTGAGAACCATTGGTCTAGATGCAACAGAACTAAGTAAGCCTAGAAAAGTCAGAAGGTATAAGAAATCATATGCTTACTTAATACCTACATTTTGTCCAAAACTTTGGTAGGTATGACCAAGGTGGGAGCAAGGAAATAAAATTAGTATGAGCAAGGCAAATATAAAGAAATAATTAGCAAAATCACTTCTTCCTTCCACAGGTGTTTCTATGTAAAAGTACTGTGATATGATGATATGCACCTTGGCGCTAACCTTCGGTACAGATGGCTATATCACAGAGGTGTTTAGGGCAGCAGCTGAAACGGGGCAGATTTTGTGGGAAAGGAGAAATTTAAGGTGGGAGGAAAAGTGGAAGAAAGAGGACAAATATTTAAGGCCATATCCTTCAGATCTCAGCTGAAATGTCACAGACAGAGGTCTTTCCGGAGGTCCCTATCTAGAACACCAAGCACCTCATTCTCCTTCTCTGGACCCTGTCCATTTCTTTTTAGTTTTTTTTTTTTTTTTTTTAACCTAACATATCTGTTCAGACAGGTCTGGCTAGAGCTAGAGTGCCTTAGTTCACATCCTAGCTCTGCCCCTTTCCAGTTACAAAATCTTGGATAAATTACTTAATCTGTTCTTTGGTTCCTCAAAAAATGTGCTAATAAAACAAGGAATTTATGTTGAAGAGTTGGCTTAGGTTGTGACTGTGGGACTGAAAAGGAAAGGGTAAATATGAACCAGTTCAAAGGCAGAATCAGTAGGTGAATTCAGACAACAAAGAGGATGAACAGACAAGGGAAAATTCTGGGGATTTTTTTGAAAAGGCAATCATTACATGTGGATTAAGGAAATTGTAAAAAACAAAAAGTATTCCAAAGTTTGTTGTTTGACAGATGTGACAGAGGCTGGCATCTGTTAACTACTCTGGAAGGAAAAGGAGGAGCAATGTCAAATCCGTGTTTAAAGTGAGCTGGCGACAAGAACACAGCTGTAAACAACTTGTTTTCAGAATGCTCGAATGACGGCCCCAACAGAAGAAAGTTCAGGGCAGACAAGGAAACCTGGGCGTCTGCTCACTGTGTGCCAGAGCCAAAATCCTGGGGAAGAAACTCCAGAAGGCCCCCAAAACTGAGCTGTATGGAGAAGGATGATCTTTTACACTCATGAGGACATTCTCATTGTGGACAAGATGCTTCATACATCGCTATGACAAACTCCGTTTGGTAAGATGGGCTTTTCAGAAGAAATAAAGCACTGATAGAACCTGTGGAACTGCACATAAGGGGGCAGTACGTTTCCCAATTGTAACCTACCTTTAAAAGGCCAAATAAACAATGTCTTCCGAGTTGCTTTTGTAAGGAGAAGCCGGGGTCATCTCTGGAAAGGACCTCTTGCTATTCAGCTTAACATCGTACAGCATTCCTCTTGTTGACATTCCAAGCACTCTTCGTTCCAAGCTAATGCTTCCTGTGATGACTTCTGGATGTCCTATTTGAAGCAGAGAACATTTTCCGACCTGGCAAGCCGCTGAAGCCTTGTAGGGGAGCCGAACTGTAGATAAAAATCTTCCAGGGAAGTAGGTGTGGGCAGGATGTCTGGTTTCCCTGCCTCTCATTTAAAGACTGATGCAATTAATTTTTCATGGCCAGCCTCTTCCAGTAAAAGTCGCATTCCAGAGTGTTTCAAGAAAAATCGGAAAGGATAAGTAGCTACTGATCTTCCTCAGTCTGAGTTCAGAGTAGAGTACAATCTTTCTCAATGTCACAGGCATGTACGGCAGAGAAACTGTGCCCCTGGCTATAATCTCAAAGCAGCCTTCTTTGCTAGTGTGACACGAGGACTCAAATTAGCCATAACAACACACAGCAGAGCGTGTACTGGTTTACCAAATAATCTGAAACCGAGCAAGAAGGCGTGATAACATTTGCCTCAGCCTGGCTCTGAATGTGTGCACAGCAGCCTGGACCCAGAAGGTATTGCTAAGCTTTTCATGAAAGAATCATGAAAGATTCTTTCTCTCACATTCCAGGCTAACCACTGTCTGAGTTGGGCTCTGTCAACCATCTGGGCCATATATTTCTGGAAAATATCATGACATCTTTTCTATAACTTTCTATAGCATTGTGAGCTCTGGCCCAACAGGAGCCTCTGCAGCCCTGGGAAGCTTCCCAGGAGCACAGACAGGAACTGACTGAACTCAGTACAGCCCCATTTCACTCATCAACAATTTACCCAGTGCCACTTAGGAACAAAGTACAGAGCAGAGAAAATTTCAAAGATGAATCAAATGCACGCGCTGCTGTCCCTCAAAATCACTTTCTCTCTAGAAAAGTAGAGGCTTAGTTCATCTCAGCTTGTGGTCGAACCACACGATGCCTGTCTGACATTGCGGGCCTCCTGCTGGCGGAGACAGAGCCGGAGCCTGCGGTCTGAGAGGTCGTGTGGAGGGGCGGTGCGCAGCCGCTCCGCCCCACCGCTGCGCTTCCACTGCTCTGAGTCTTCCGCCCCGCGTTTCTTGAGCCCCAAACCTGGGAAATGTCCTGCTGACGCTACTTTACTCAGGGAAGGAGATTTCTAGAAGAACAAGAAAGCCTGGATCTGCCTCGGCGTTTTAATTTTACACCAACTTAGGTAATCATGGCTCTTTTCACTAAAAGTCAACCTCTTCATTAATTTACCATTTCCTTATTAGATTTATATCGTACCTCTAAAAAAGGAAAAAATATATAACTCAAATACTACGAGAGGTCTTTTCATTGTCGGTTGCCTTGTTAAAGGAGCAGAGTGCAGAGGGAGGGGAAGGGCTCCTGTTTACCGAGGCGCAGCCTGGGCCAGGTCCGCACTAGCTGTGGTCTTCCTGCTGTAGTTGACGTGGCCTCCTGAGGAGCACCGGTGCTCAAGCAGGACCAGCTAAATGTGGGGCCCCTGAATCAAAATATATTAAGAAATTCAAGTGTGACAGCAGAATATGAAACCAAGCGCAGGGCCCTCCTAAGTGTGCGTGCCTATATGACTGCACAGGCCACACGCCCACGAAACTGGCTTCCCTCTCCTGCCAGTCTTCCTGGGTTTGAACCCTGGCTTTGCCATTTACTAGTCATGTGACCCTGGACAAGGTATCTGTAAAACGGGGATAACAGTCCCTACCACAATGAGTTATTAGGATTAAATGAGTTAATATTTGAAAAGTGCTTAGAAGAATACCTGGTATACAGCAAGCATTTAGTAAAAGGTTTAGTAAATACATACTGTACCAAGCCTAAATGTCTCAAAATGCCAGAGACAACTATGGCCTGGAATTGTGAATTCACTAAAACATTAGAAAAAATGTTTTGAGAGTTTGGATTCCTGATAAAGAGAATCACATTTTTTATTAGTATGACAAGGGTCATCTTTTAATTTAACAATTAAGAGATTTTAAAAGATATTCTAAATTGAGGCCGACTACCCATGAAGCAAAACTAAAGAACTACAAAAGACACTGGTTTATGCTTCAGGTTCTGGAAGCCTGTGAAGTGCAAACTGTCACGAAGCCAATTTAATACGACTGCTGCTTTTGTGCAGAAGGGACTCACTAGAGAATTCGCTGCTTCCATACAGAAAATAAAGCCTGCTGAAGCGGAACAAAAACTAAGAAATACCATCTTCTTTTTACGATGCAGAATACCGTTTAAAAAAAGAGATTTTACTAATCATACAGATACTATGTTTAGTTCTAGAAAAAATATTACTAAAACAAGTCAGAGATAACTTGTAGGCAGTGATAGGTATTTTTATATAAAAAATGTGGTACACAGAGGTATAAATACTTAACAGTTTATTAATGTTTGTTTTATAAGAGCAAACAGTTACTTCCCTGGGTTATTTACACATTATTTACTCTTGACTACCAATAATTCTCAGGACTTCCAGAAGCTTTTACAAGAAACATGTAGTTTTTCTCCCCAATAATAATAAATATTGTTGACTGCAGAATTCTAAAGAAGTAAGTTGTCATTTGTTAAACGATTCGCCCAAGGTACACAGATTTGGGATATTTCTCCTTAAGAGTCAGCCACTGAACAATGAAGTAATCGGAGAGGTGAAAGAGAATCTTTCCGGACAGGGACAAGTGTTCGACTCGGCAGATGCTTTCCACGTAGACAATGATCACTTTCTTTATTCCTAGTATCCCAAGGAGAAGGGCAGATACACAGATAGGAACACATGTTCCTGGTCCGTTACACAACACCTTAAAAAAAAAAAAAAGTTGAAGGTCAAATTAAAATACAGAATACTAGTCTAAATGATGCATTTGGCATTAAAAACGGTCACATCTTAGAGGTTGTTTTTCATTCTAAGTCTTGAATTATCCCTTGTCAAGATCTAATATGTAGCAAACCCATGCACTTAGAAGCCCACTGGGGCTGTGTTGCTGGCTCTCCTGCTCACCAACTCTGTGACTTGCAGCAAATCACTTAACTTTCTGTGCCCCTGTGGTCTGCCCTAGGCTACAGGAGGTGTCAGCAGAGCCTGGAGCTCAGCCAGCAGTCACTAGACGGGGTGTGTGCTGCTCTTCTCAGACTGCTCCGTGGATCTTGAATGTCACACAAATATGTAGAAAGGTGATAAAATCAGCTATGATTCACTGTTTTCTCATGTACCAATTTGTTCTTGTCAATTTTTAAAATTCCCATCCCCCGACCCTTCTCTGCTGGCAAACATCCACTCGTTCTCTGTATCTGTGGGTCTGTTTCTGTTTTGTTTATTCATGCTTTTTTTTTTATTTTTAGATTTCATAGGTAAGCGAAATTATATGGTATTTATCTTTTTCTGTCTGACATACTTTACTCAGCATAATACCCTCAAAGTCCATCCATATTGTTGCAAATGTCAAGATCGAATTTTTTTTATTGCTAAAGAATATTCTATTGTATATATGTGCCACCTCTTCTTTATTCATTTATCTTCTGATGGACATTTAGATTGCCCTCATATCTTGGCTATTACTAGTAATGCTGCAATGAACATAGGGGTACATATAAGTATTTTTCAGATTAGTATTTTTGTTTTCTTCAGATAAATACTCAGAAGTGGAATTGCTTGGTCATATAGTAGTTCTATTTTAACTATTTGAGAAACTTCCACACTGTTTTCCATAGTGGCTGTACTAACTTACATTCCCACCAACAATGCATGAGGGTTACCTTTTCTCTACATCCTCACCAGCACTTGTTATTTGTTGACTTACTGATGATAGCCATTCTGACAGGTGTGAGGTGATACTGTGGTTTTAATTTGCATTTTCCTGATGATTAGTGATACTGAACATCCTTTCATGTTTGTTGGCCATCTGTATGTCCTCTTTGGAGAAATGTCTATTTAGGTCCTCTGCCCATTTTGTTTTTTTTAACCGAATTGGTTTTTTTCTTTTCTTTTTTGGTGTTGTTACATGAGTTCCTTATATATTTTGGATATTAACCCCTTATCAGATGTATCATTGACAAATATCTTCTCCTACTCAGTAGGTTGTTTTTTATTTTGTTGATGGTTTCCTTCACTGTGCAAAAACTTTTTAGTTTCACACAGTCTCATTTGTTTATTTTTGCTTTTGTTGTCTTTGAGGAGATAAAAAAAAAATTGCTAAGAGAGATGTCAGAATTTCCTGTCTATGTTTTCTTCTAGGAGTTTTATGGTCTCAGGTCTTACATTTAAGCCTTTAATTCATTTTGAGTTTATTTTTGTATATGGTATAAGAAAGTGGTCAAATTTCACTTTTTTTTAAATGCATGTATCTGTCTAGTTTCCCCAAACCACTTATCGAATAGACTGTCTTTACCACATTGTACATCCTTGCCTCCTCTGTCATAGATTAACTGACCATAAAAGCAAGGATTTATTTCTGGGCATATTTCTATTTCTTAAAAATTCTCAATAAATGTGGGTGCATTGCCTTTACCCTCTCTCTTCTTCACTACTTTATAAGCTCTCTATGGGCAGAGTCAATAGGACAATCTATACTCTGCATCTTAAACAAAATAGTCACTCACTGAATTTAGCTGAAAGGGAGAAGGAAGGAAAGAAGTGAAAGGGGGAAG